GTAGATTAATTAAAAATGCAATTCCACCTAGAATTTATAACTTAGAAAAACATGTTCTAGGGTTTGAAGAACCTGAGAAGTGCAAAGGTATTGCCGAAGCATTACAGGGATTCTTTTACATCTGGGATCTATAATTGCAAAACTTACGACATTAAAATATGCTCTGGAAAAAGCCCACTGATGATAGATAAAGGATAACTTAATAGCATGCAGGTTGTGTTACCCTCAGCTTGCTGAGGAGTTGGTGTAACCTGGATGCTGCTGAAGTTATGCTGAAGATCAATATCTTCTAATACTTACTTAATAAGTTCCATGGCTTTCTTGTAATCCATATTTATAAGAAAATCAGGCCTGCTTCACACCCCACCGGATCCCTCCTCCCCACCTATTCCTGTGTCACCAATTATACATGTATCTTTGGAAGATGTCTAGAGCTCATAATGGGGAAGGAGAGCAGCCTCAGCATCCCTAGGCTGTGGGGAAGCAGGCAGTATTTTTGGATCACTGACGGGACGGGGAGGAGGGTGTAGGACCCAATGGGATGGGAAGTGGACCCAAGGCTGTTGGGACTGGGGGGGGAGAAAATAGGCCCATGGCCTGTTTGAGGAACTGGTGGGGCAGGATGGGGGAGAGATAGGGGGAGATAGGAGATAGTGCTGCAGCAACGCTGCAGTCAATTGAAAGGGCAAATCCATCTGAATTTTGTCCATGTGACCACAGGGGTGCTACAATGACTATAACTTTAAAACTGGATCATGAGTAGGAAAGTCCATTGTAAGTTGAGGACTACCGATAGATAGATAGATAGATAGATAGATAGATAGATAGATAGATAGATAGAGAGAGAGAGAGAGAGAGAGAGAATTGCTAAGCTCTTGTTTTGATATTAATCAGCGCACTCTCTAATATAAAACGTGCCCTGGAGACCTCTCTAGGTGTAGAGAATGTGACTCTCAGAAGGTATGACTATATTTTTTCTAATAAAATTTGATTCCAGGGTGCAATTTCCCACCATAAAGAAGCATTGATAATCTAATGACTATAGGTAAAATGCCTAGAGGTGCTGAGGAATTGGGCAGCCTCTGAATAGAATAAATAAATAAACAGGACCTGTGTATGAATATGGGTAGGACCTTATGTCTGCAGAAAGTAATATGCATCAGCTTTGAATTTCAATAGAAATAATAATAAGAGCATTTCATAGAATCAAGGCTGAAGATTCTAGCTGCAGAACAAGAATGCTTTCATTTGTTCTTACTTTAAATTAGTTTGATGACTGTATTAAGTTTTAATTTTATTCATTGTCCATTCTTGTTTATGGCAACCATATACTTTTGTTTAATAAATAAATAAATACATAAATAAATAAATAAATAGTTTTAAAATGCTTTGTAATGAGGATTAAAAACTTACACATTGCACATTAAGGGGACTTTAATTTTGAATGGTCTGCTGGATAGCTGTAACTAGGGTCTCTTAATTTTGACTTAATAGCTTCATTGGCTGGGGGACTTAGTATTTTCCAATCACAGCCACTGTCTTCTCCAGTGAGGAGCAAGGAAATTGGATTAGGGAAGAGGAAACAAAGTGTTTCTTTGTTCTCTGAATCTTGCTTGGAGGCCTTGCAGTGAGTGAACACCTTAAGAAAACATATCTTATGGAACTAAGCTGAGGAATTAAGGCTGATATCAAAAACTCCTGGGAGAACTTGAACTACTAAAGTAAAGTTAGCTGGGAAGGTATGAGGATTTTTCATTTCTATTTGCTGCTGCTCACTCAGTTTTGGATAATGTTATATCTGTCCTGATTTTGGGTTGGGTTGGGTTTGTAATCAGACTTAATACCTCCAAGTCCACTTAGTTCTGGCCATTAAAAGGAGACAGTTTGAACAGAGGCTTTCCTGTTCTGTCCCATTCAGATGAGAGGCATTTCCCATGTTAAGAACAGATGGTAAAAGAAGACTCTTCCATTTGGGATAGATTCATACCCAGATATCTTAGCACTTATGTGGATGATGTGCAGGTACAGGTAATCCTCAACATATGACCACAATTGAACCCAAAAGTAATACAGTTGTTAAGTGAGTTTTGCCCCTTTTTATGACTTTTCTTGCCATAGTTGTTAAGTGAATCACTGCAGCTATTAAGTTGGTAACACAGTTGTTAAGTGAATCTGGCTTCCCCCATTATCTTTGTGTCATGGTTCCAATAGATGAAACCAATTAAAAGAACTTCAAGGCTAAGATTTCTTCCTTAAAGAACATTTTATTCAAGAAACAAAATATTGGCACTTACATAGTTGAACCCAAGACTGAAGTTCCCTCCCCAGATACAAAGTAACAAGTTGTAATTCCCAACCCAGAAAAGCTGTCATAAATCACATTCACCAATTATTCCAAAACACTGGGCTCTATTCCCAACTTCTCAACCTGCCAAAACTTTATCTAACATTGACCCTGAGTTCACACACAGCTGCAATTGTTATGGCTAACTGAAAACGCTGGAGCATTCCCCTCATCTCCCCTTCTACATCTAAATATCTCAAACAGCAGAAAAAGCATAGTAAAAACAAAAAGTAAAATGGTTGCAGTTTCTTAATTGTCACAACGTTGACACTTTGCTTGTCAGAAGATTGCAAAAGGTGATCACATGACCCTGGAACACTGCAACCATCATAAACACATGCCAGTTGCCAGTTGTCTGAATTTAGATCACATGATCATGGGGAGGCTGCAATGGCCATAAGTGTGAAAAATAGACAGAAATCACTTTTTTCAGTCATTAAATGAATGGATGTAAGTCAAGGGCTACCTGTATTGAAATCCCAGGGAGAGGTCTGACAGGCTGTAGGTGACAGGCACATAATGCACCACCTCTTCTTTGCTACATCCATAGGAAAAATAAATCACACAGATAATTTCTTTTGAATCTGCTTTACAAACTCAGGATAAGGTGGTTTTAACAAACAGATTTTTCATCTGCAACCTAAAATAGCTCAGCATGAGAAAAGTACTTTCCTTGTGATTCTGCTGAATGGGAAAAGCAATATGGATTCTATGTCAGATTTGGAATACCATTATGTTGCAAATATTTTATGCCGAACGTCTTTGCCTTTCTTATTTTGTCCATGTTTCTTCCACAGGGATGGTGAATTTCAGTGAGATTTCTGGATATCCTTTGCTACAACATTGGAAGGTTCGCTCTGTCATGTACCATGTTCGGTTGAACCAAATGACTACCTCTCAATGTAAGTTACTTGGTGGGGTGGCTTTAGATTGGCCATAGTACCACAGCTGAAGTGGGGTGGGGGAGACCAGCCGAAGAGGCAGCCATTCTAACGTTGTGTTCATCCTGGACATCACTGTTTTCTTTAGTCAGTCATCAGCAATTTCATATGTAAGAGTTAGAAGGGAACAGATATGTCTGGTTGTATACCCAAAAGATCTGTTGAACCCTAATTCCAATGTTGGATGGCAATTTAGAGATTTGTAGTTGCAGATCTGGAGAATATTAACTTCACATATATTGATTCCTAGTTCCATTCTAAACGATTTTCACATTAAAATGTGTACTACGTTTTTATACTGTGTTCTACAATCTTGACGTTTTATCCTAAAGTATGCATTTGCAACTAAAGTAAGCCTTTTTTACACAGCTTACATTTCTTTCCATTAAAAACCATGCTGAACAATTCAAAGAATTATAAAAACAGAAAATTTGAGTACAGTGGAAGTCTGGAGAGTGCAAATGAGTTTGCTGAGAATGCAGACTAAATAAAATTTTAAGTGTCTTCATTCAGTCATATTTGCCTTCTTGAATATTTGGTTCTCTTTGACCCTCCTATACATCTTGAAACATGTAGATGACATAAAGCAAATTGGGTATCTTCATCTTCTCTAGGAGCAGTTTGGAAAAGACCACAAACTGGGTGCCAAAATTTCACCTCATATATTGTCTGTTGAGCATGTAATGTTTTATCCTTTTAAAAAATATTTAAGCTTTTTCTTTTTCAAAATGATTGATGAAAAACATCAGGAAATAGACCAGCAGGTCAAGCAGGATGGCACTGTGGCAGATGTTGCTGTGTCTTCACACAGGGTTTTCAGTCTCAGAAGCTCGACTTTAAATAAAAATGTCTGCGCAAAGACAGTTTATCTGAATATTGAAAGAAGTATTTTAATAGAGAAAAATATTTATCTATTCCATTCATAATAGGGTGTTGTTGATATTTTCTTAGCAACTCTGTAAACAATGTTCCTTAGAAACATAGCATTATTCAATCAAAGGTAGCAATTTAATTTTTGACAAGAACTTTTGGTCAGCAATTCTTATTGTTTCCTCATCACCCTATAAACTTCATCACCCCACAAACTGCTAAAACAATTGTGAACAACTAAGAGCCTGCTACTGAAATTAAACATTTTTATCAGGCTAAAACAAGGCAGTTTACTTCTTTACACAGTGAATTCAGTCCTGAAACATTTGGAAATAGCCACTGACCTTGTTTAAATCAGAGTTCCATTAAGTACATTTCACCTCATTTTTACATACAGACTATGCTTTTGGTACTGGAGTGAGCAAGGATTGTTAACCTGCTTGTGAGCTTCCAGAAGCATCTAAATGTGGTAACAAAATGTCTGTCTGTCTGTCTGTCTGTCTGTCTGCCTGCCTGCCTGCCTGCCTGCCTGCCTGCCTGCCTGCCTATCCTGCCTTTCTCTCTCTCTTTTTGTTTGCTGTACTTCTGTTCTCTGCAGTGTTTGGCAATGCCCTTCATTCTCTGGATGGAGCAACGTCTCGGGGAGATTTTGTGGCTCTGCTGGATCATTTTGGCAACCACTACATACAGGAAGCTGTCTATGGATTTGAGGAATCCTGCTCTATCTGGTATCCCAACAAGCAAGTCCAAAAACAGCTCTGGCTGGAATATGAAGATATTAGCAAAGGTAAACTTCATTTCTGCCTCCTCCTTATACTGAGACACAGTACGGTAGAGAAGGGCAAGTATCAGTAGTGTGGAGAGGTGATAGTAAAGATTCTGTTGTGGCCAGGAAAATTCTGCACTTGGAACTATTTTCAAAAGGTTGCTTCATCTGCGTCATAAACTTTGATTGCGGTGTTTGCATTTTAACAGCTCTCAGGGGTTGTAAAGGGGATGAAAGGAAGGAGGACACTTGAAGGGCAGAAAATATTGGGCAAAGAAGAAAATTGTGCTGCATTGGAAATCTGACTTGAACTTGGATGTCAGAGCAGATATGACTGTGACACGGGACTCTTCTACTCTCAGAGATGTGCTGGCCTTTTTGCTAAAGTTGTATAAACTACAATTCCATGGCAGGGAAGTAGAGTTGTGATTGTCATCTGGGATACTCTGCAGGCAATCAAGGGCATTGTTGTTTAGGTAATTTGTGAATTATTGTTTATTCAAGATTGGGCTCCAGGGAAAAGTTAGGGCATTGCTTTTACTGGCCTCCATGTTGTACAATTCCTACCTGAGTTTCTTGACCTTGGCACTGGTTAGTACTGGAATCATCTGTAAGTTTCAGTTGGTCTTCAGTATCTACTTACATTTTCATCAAACCCTTTCACTGTCAAATCATTATTATGATTAAGAGAATGGAGATATTATTCATTGTGCTTGTGGTTGACATCTGGTGGGTTCAGGACTTGGGTGGTATGTCCTAGCACATGGCTTCTAAATTAAGGAGAGCATCTGAAGAGCAGCAAGTATTGTACAAAGAAATTCGGCAGTCTTTGATACCCTCAATTATGATTCCAACTCTGGACTAAAAGGTTAAGGGAGTCTGCGCATGAGGGGCATTTGGTGGGTCTCTTTCCTCCAAGGCTGGTTCGTGGTCCCAGTCAGTGCTGCTGGAAGAAGAGAGGTCTAGCACAAGATCTCTGCTTTCTGAGGTGCCACAGGACTCATCTTGCTCCTCATTTCTATTTAACATCTATATAAAACTGCTAGGAACATCACTAATCGGCATACAGTAATACTCAGTTACATAATCTCTGCCCTGAGCTGACCAAGAATGCCATCAAGGTCCTTTTCCAGCACCTGGATGCTATGAAGATCTGGATTGGGAAAATAGGCTTTAACTCTTCTCCATCATGACGGATGGAGCATCCACTCATGGGTTAATTTCGTCTTCTGCCCGTAGACTAGTTGACCAATTTGCTCCGCCTCTCCTCCTGGGACCTCCCTTTCCCAGTCTCGACTAGTCTTGAGCCCGTTTAGGCTGAATTTCATTGACTCCTGAAGATAAGGTCGTATTTCTTGATTTCTTGATACTCTGACTAATTCGAAGGGGGGGGTGGAATTGCTAGAAAACGAACAGCGGTTCACTTTCCTTTTCCCCTTTCTGCTGCCTGATTAGCCGATCCCAGCACAGCCACGAGGTTGGCTTGAAGCCAGCCGGTAGCCGGACAGACAAAGAGCAGACGCCATTTTCCGGTCACCAAGTGTGACTCTGGGCAAAAAGGGGGAAGCATTCCTCCTTCCCCTTCCATCTCACCCCTCCCATAGGGATTTTCCATCCAAGAGCTTCCCACTAGTCAGCACTCGAAGGCTGTTCTTCTGAAACTAGCCTTTTAAAATCCGTGATTCTCTCCCAAGCATCAGCTGGTTTGCGGAGAGCAGCAGCTTCAATTGAAATTCCTCCGTCCGGTAGAGAGCTAATCTTCAGAAGTTACCTGATTTGGCTCTGTTCTCAAACGGAAACGCAAACGGAGTTCACCAGCCCAGGGAACCCTGCTGAGCTGCGTAGTCAGAATACACAAACGGAGTTCATCTGAACTACACAGGGAGAAGAGCTAACTCCACGTGTCCTGAGGCTAGGGAATCGGAGCCCTGCTGAGCTAATACACAACGGAACTCAGCAGCCTCCAGAGAACCGGCTGAGCTGCTCAGACAGAGAATCAGATTCAGACTTCCTTCCTTCTTCCTAGCCACATCAATAATAATAATAATAATAATAATAATAATAATAATAATAATAATAATAATAACAACAACAACAAAAACAACAATAAAAAAAGAAAGAAAATAAAAATAAATAAATTGATAAAAAGAGTTAAATCAATTATCAATTAATCCTAAATTAATCTGAACTGAGAATCCCTTCAGTCTTATAAATGGCAGATACAATCACAGCCCAAACAGCGCAGGAACCTTCCATCAGCAGCCCTCCTGCTCGTAAGAGGCAGAGATCCTCCAAACAGGAAGTGGCTGGCAAGATCAAGGCCAAGGCAATCTCTGCAAAAAGGCCTTCCAAAACTGCGGATAGAGAGGCTAAGCGACGACACCAGGCCCTAGAGAAACAATTTTCTCAAGCGGAAAGGAGGCAAAATTCCACTGAGGAGGAATTAGAGCCACCCAATTACAGGGAGGAGGAAATATTTGGGCCAAGGAAGCCTAGTCAGGACCCTCTGGAAGCTGAAGCTGATACGGAACAGGGGAATGGATCTTCCCTAAG